ACTGAAGTCAGCTTTGTACCCAGAAGACAAGGTGTGGTTGTATATCCCAGGAAGACAAAAGGGAAGTCTCCTAAGTTGTTTTCTCCATGGAAAGACCCATATAACATAGTGGATCATCTCTCTGACGTGACTTTCCAGATAAAATGTGGTCGTCGAGGTAAGCCAAAGGTGGTGCAAGCCAACAGGCTTTGGCATTATCACGGTCCAGGACATTACAGTTGGAACGAAGTGAACAACAGAAAAAATGACCCTGCTGAAGATGTGTCACCTGAAAAAGCCACTGTCGAAGAAGAAACTCGACTCGGTTTTGAGAAGAGAAACAGCGAAGTCCTTGATGAAGTTACTACCACTGATGTGACTGTTACCAATGATAGGATGTTTCCTGATGAAGCAGATAAACCCCAAATGAAGCAGAAGCCAACGAGACGGAGACCAGTATGGAAGAAGATACGTACCGTAAAATTAAGAGACTTTGTTGAATTTTGATTTTGTGTTTGTAAATTCTGTACATTTAATTAAGTTATTGTTAATTGTTTATTGGTTTAATGTAAGTGGCTATTGTTCGGGACGAACAATACTAAGGAAGGGGCAGTGTTATGACAGTGGAAGTCACATGACGCTGGTAACACGTCATGAGATTCTCGAAGAATCTTGACTTTTCCTGGCAACTGTAGTCTTTTCTAGGCGCCCTCTTTTTTGTATATAAACCCGGCAAATAAAGCGGAGAAATAATTGCAGGTAGACAGACATAGAGACAGATAATTGAGTTAAAGGGTAGTGACTGCAAGTAAAGTGCGGGAATCGTTGTGAATTATAGCGTGTGTTTAAGTTAAAATGACTGTGGAAATTCTGTGTATTGCAAAGTTGAATTGAGAAAGAATAAACTAGTTTTATTTAAGAAAGGACTTGTATCGCTGAAGTTCCTCGGGAAGAATTTATACTGGAAATTAACAAACGAGCAGATATGTAACAATACTTTTAACTGTGAGTTAAACTATAACTTAACTACTTTTAACAATAAGTTAGCTACTTTTAATCATAAATAAATGAAGAGGTAAGAATACATAAGTTCATTAAAATGACTAACAAAACTAAAAACAAATAATAAATAGAAATGAAGCACAAACTTTAGATAAAGTAACATATGACGAATCAATAACAGAGGTTCATGAACCAAAAAATAATCGATAAATAAGAGGAGAATGCTTAGAAAGAGAACAATATTTACAAAGAATTTTTAAAAAATCATGAAGAGTCAATAAGTCATATAAGATTACATATTAATAAGTTTGTTTGTTTGTTTTGAATTTCGCGCAAAGCTACACGAGGGCTATCTGCGCTAGCCGTCCTTAAATTAGCAGTGAAAGACTAGAGAGAAGGCAGCTAGTCACCACCACCCACCGCCAACTCTTGGGTAACTCTTTTACCAACGAATAGTGGGATTGACCGTCACATTATAACACCCCCACGACTGAAAGGACGAGCATATTATAGAATACTTTAAACAAATATATATTTAAGCTACAAAAATTCTCATAAACAGATTACATCTAAAGGAAGGATAACATATCCAAACCTTATATGATATATAATTTAATTTAACTTTGTAAAAAAGGTAAAAAAGTAAATAAATAATCAAGCAAAAAATATACTTAAAAAACGAAGCCACAAAACAAACATCCAACACCGGGGCACAAATCATAGGATTGATGGTTATGTAATGTTCTCTGGTTTTTATGACGTACCGGCGGAAGCAAGACCCAAAATATCCTTGGGTACACCGTCTATTCAGTTGAACCTCAACTTTAGCGGCCTACATGCTTAAAAGAAAAAAAGGTTAAATGAAAGAAAAGAAGCCCACGACAACCCACATCTTTACCACATTTCGCTGTCTGCAGCCATAAGGTGGTTGCTCACAAAAAATAAGTAAATAAGTAAAATAAAAATAATAGTGAGAAAAAAAAATTAGAATACCATATGTTAATGGGGGAGACAGCAAAACTGTCCTTTAAGTTAGCAATTCAGCCCCAAGAAGGATGTTTGGACATAGAGATATTAAGGTACTACTATACTATGCCCAATTTTTTATTATTAGTAAAGCTCCCATTCTCCATGTTTCCCTGCTCCTATCTGGATCTCTCTAAAACCATTATAAAAAACCTATATAAGATATAAAATTTTCCAAATAAATAATTCTAATTATTTACCGTCCAATAAAGTCCCCTGGTGGGACAGTGATAAGTCTACGGACTTAGTAATAAAATCCAGCGTTCGATTCCCTGCGGTGGACACAGCAGATAGCCCACTTTGGCTTTGCTGTAAATAAAACTCTTGAATACATTTTAGAAATTATTTTCTAGTGTGTATATTGTTACGTCTCCGTTTGTTAATTAACTTTCCGTAACTTCGTTCCGACGAAACTTTAGCGACACAAGTTCTTTACTTAATAAAACTGGTTTATTCTTTCT